CAAAATCACAACCTCCTCTTAACCTCCTTTATTAGTTCATATTTGGGGACTTGTGCTTTTGGTCAATTGTCACATATATTAGAGCACTTATCTTCTTCCAACACTCCAAAGAAGTTAAGTTGTTCTAAAGGTGGACCAAACATCTGGAAGAGGGATAGGGAGATGACACAGAACAGATAGCACACTATTGGGGATGCTTTTCAACTAACTTGTCTTTCCTTGACATAGGGAGAGAGATTGATTTATGCAGAGGTGGTACTTCGTTTCCTAGAAAAGAAATCTGAGAAATTCCACCAGTTTGTGCCTTAGATATGCAACCCCGAATTAGTCAAATGTTGTTAATCAAGGGTTGAAGTTAGACTTGCAATATTTATGAGAATATGGACTTGGATGGATTGTTCGTCAGCCAATGTAAGAGGATTGTTTGGATGGTTTCAGCTGTTAGAAGGAAGAAATGAGCAATTGTCCAAAATGAAGCTTTGTAGGTCAGCACTGACTTTATGGGGTGATTGTCTATATATTTTTTTATCTAGCCAGAAAATTCATCTAAACTATCAAAAAGAAAGGATTGGGTAATGGCCCTCTCAATCCAGGATCAACATTTATTAATGGAAATTTTCTTTTTATCAAAAAAGAAAGTGGTAACATGTGATCCTTTGAATTATTTGAAGCAGATTAAGTGGCATTGTCAAGAAAACAGAATCATATTCTCACGATTCAGTCAAGCTTGTGGGAAACCAAAAGGCTTCCTAATGGGAAACAATTGGTTTTATGATTCCCTTTGGACTCCCATATACAGGGGGAGACACCTGATGCAAAAGGAAGGAAAAATAACAATGCAATTGTGAATTCAAAAATACCTGATGACAAAGGAGAAAGAACAAATGAATTATGTAACCCACTTGCACTTACACAATTTTGGTATGTACATATGAGTTTAGTTTGTTATATTTACAATTTTTTCTAAGATTTATTATAATATAATGAAACTTCTGGTTTCACAATTTGTGGTTCCATTTTTATCGTATAATACATAAGGTTGACAGATTTCATTGATGAGGGAGATCATGACGTCATTGTCTCAATTTTCCCTTAGGCCCCATTCGTTTGCAGGTAAATATGCATGGGAAAGTTGGCCAGTGGGTAACTTTTTCCCATTGACCAACTTTCCCATGTTCTTTTTGCATTAAGCAATGGGCCCACAGTAAAGTTACATACCTATCTCCCAGGTGGGAAAAATAACTTTCCTAACTGGGAGAAATTTTTATAAAACATGATGGGACCATTTTACCCATTTTAATAGTTACTTTTGTGAGTAGAAATGTCATTATTATTTACCTAGGAATCCTACAAATCAAAAGAACATGGACAAGTGCACTTGTCCAGGTAAATGAAACATTTACCTGGGTAGGTGCACTTACCCAGGTAAGCTGCACTGTTACAAATGAACAAGACTTTAAAGTATTGCAACCAAAATCTCCAAAATAAGACTTCTTAATTTGGACCATTAAGATTGGGACTGATAATACATAAACCCATTACATCCATATCAGCTTCTACTTGGCCTAAACCGTGTGACTGTGAAGTATTAAGAATTGGTTTGGGGCCTCACCATTCCTCCAACAGAAAAATCCTTTGGTGGATGGCTATATATTGTAGTAGTTAGAAGTGGCCTTATAAAGCCCAGTGCCTCATTGAGGATCCTTATTTCCTTCTGGCAACGAAATACTAAAATTCACAAAGTACCTGTTTTTGCCATATACCATCCCCAACTAAATGCTTCCCAAACAAATTCCAGAGCCCACATTTTTCTGAAGCTCTCATGTCTTTATCAGGTACCCAGTTGGTGAATGCCCTAAGCTGGAGAAGGAATGTTGATATTAGATATGACACTGAAGTTATCCAACATCCTGACTTTCTGATCTACTGAGTTTCATTGGAGACACCTCTCATTTAGTTGCGCGCAAAACCTTATTCTTCAGTCATGTTAAAAGCTTTGTAGATCATGTAGCTTACTTGGTGGCCCTATTCAGTCTCTATCTGGCCTTGATGGGCAACCTCGCAGTATGACATGACAATAAAGCTTTGCATAAGTATAGTTTTCCATCTAAATTTGGGCTCTAACTTACAAATTACCATATGCTTTCCTAGAAAATGAACTGCTATTGAAATGAAGATTATGAAAAGAATCATTTGAAAATTAGCTTCTGATAGAAGAATGATGACATCCCGACTAGGTAATTGGAATTAAGGTTGAGTTATGCATATATGAATTKYCAGACTTGGACTGGACTCAACTGTTGGACTGTTCAGACCACTCAGAAAAAGTGATCAAATAGATATTAATCAACTACTCATTTTCTTTGTTACCCTACTAGTGTAAGAGCATGCCTATGCATGTGCACAAGATAAAAAAAAAAGGATAATAACAAAAACCTAGTAATGCAAATTAAGCGATTTAAACTCTCTATATAGTTTGAGACTTGGGATTGAGTACCGCCTTCACCGGGTTGAGGGGGTCTAGGGGGAGTTCAAATCTGCCMCCACAGAATGCGCCCCAAAAATGTTCCACGGCACATTCCATTCGTGTATTGGGAACATCTCCCAGTGAACGGGAGATGTTCTCAATACACGCTGAGATGTGCATGTGGGATGTTTTTGGGGCGCATTCTGTGGGGGATAGATGTGAACTTGTCTAATGGTTTGGGGGGAGGGTTACCCCAGTTCTGCAGCCCATTAAAAACAATAGATAAAATAGTTTACAAAGTAGTTGAACTAAACAAACGAAAATTCACTTGATTACTTCATAAATAGAACACATAAATATTGAGACTTGTTACAAAGAAAAGACACCTTTGGCTCACTCTAGTTTCATGTAATCAAAATTACACCTAATTCACAATTCTGCACTTCTTCCTAATCTCGCCTTGCGACCCAGTGAGCACATCAATCGAACCCATATGCACCATGGCAGATGCAAATTTGGCAGCCCAGGCTGCTGGATGATTCATGTTGTCTCTCACCATCTTTCTTGTTGAGGGAACAATCCAGAGCACTTGGTCTGAAGTCAACAGTCCCTTGTGTTTCTTCAAATTCTTATAGTAATTGTTGTCTAGACGATCTGGGGTTACTGCATCGAATGGTACAACTGGGTCTAGATTATTTTTAGCAGTTGGATGTAATGGGCACTGAGTTTTCAGGTAACTGGCATAGGCAGGATCAAGAGAAGGATCCTGGGAGTGTGTGGCATTGAAGTGGTAGAGGCGGTTTGAGAAGGATGAGCAATGAGAGTCCCCGATTGAATGGGCGCCTGAGAGTGTCACCATTT